ACCGTGGAGGTCCTCCACAAATTGAAATATTGGAAAGGCACCGGAGGTCAGGTGAACGTGTGAGTCGACTCCAGTTAGTCCTGTTGGATGGAGAACATCCCAAAAAGACGTCATAGATGGTCCAAGTTCTGTGTTTCATATTATGGAGCCCCAATCTCCTAAGGCGTTTTTTCAAGTCGTAAGTTAGCTCGGTGCTTTAGGGCTCCTCAGAGTTAAGCATTGTCAACCGCTCCTCAACACCGGCATCTTATGTCGCATTTTTATTACTTTGGAAGAGTAAGTAGTATAATCAAAATCACAAATTTCAGGGGGACCGATCGCATCGACCTCACTTGGAACGACACCGCCATATCCTAAGCTGCAGATCGAATATTGGGCGCGTAGCCTGGAAAATAGTTAAAATGTTTGCTGCAGCTTTGTTCGGTCCAGTGTCCACAAAGCTATCCTAAGCTAACTCAGGCCCCCTTCACCGCCCTGGGTCCTCCTTGTTTTGTGTGATTGTTGAGGATTGTGCTTCATAAGTAGGAAGGATATCCGTCCTCGAAAGAAATTCGTTGCATCAGGAGAAACGGAGGGAATAAAAACACATATTTTCGTTTGAATCGATAAACTCTGAGTAGACGTGGTTAAAACTTTTAGGTTTCAAATTCTGTCACTAATATAAATAGTTGAATTACTGACGGGAAGTGACATCCAACTGTGACGGTGTACCAAAAGCTAGCAGTTGGGCTTGCTGCTGGTATTAAGATTTCTCCTTCTGCCCTTCCTTTTTTCTTATTCATTGGACTTCATCTAGCCACAGAAAGTTCAGATAAACTTACTCGCTCTTCAGTACGGACTGCTTAAAACAGGGGTGCTGCAAGTCGGTTCACTGGCACGTAACTGGGAGCCCGCCACAACACATCTCAGTAGCATGAGCCCTTGTGGTTTCTTCACAACTCATAATGAACTGGCAATAGCCATGATATGAAACTTACTAAAATTTAAACAAAGAAGTAGACAAGTAGTGATCATTTGGGATGAAAACCATTGTTAAGGTGCGCAGTTATGTTATGAAGAAAGGCTAATTAGAGCTCATTTCCAGAATGATAAAGAACTTTTCCAAACGATGCCTTGACCATTTTCTAATTGGATAAAAATCCCAGTTAACATTGTACAAAGATTATGTTGTTCACTATAGAATGGAAAGCAAAATAACTAGATTGGTTCCTCGGAACAAATACCATCTCAAGATTGGTACTTCTGGATATCCAACAAGCAGCACCACTCGCCTACTTATCATGACTTTATAAGACAGAATTAGTGGGCTGTAAAATAAGTCGCCTCATACTGATAACTGCACCTCAGTTGAGTCGGCTGGTTCTAGAGTTACATCAAAGATGTCATCATTGTCGGACTTCGTTCAAATCACTTCATCGAATGCGCTTTCGAACACAAATGAGTTCTACTAGCGTTGACCCATCGGAGTTGCCGGCTCCTGGGCCTATTCCGTAATCCATTGAACGTTTTAAAAAATGAATTCATTGCACTGAGAAACCTGAAATGAAATGCCCCAACTTCACCTGAGTACCTTTGTTTTTCTAGTCAGTTCGTCACCAATGTCTGTAATGTCTAACACCTCTCAGTCACCTCTAGTCCGCGAAAACTGTGAGCTGGGCATCTGTTGATTTAAACACATATATCGCACCATCAAACTGCTTGATGTTGAATTACTTGGAATGCTGAATACTTTTTGCTCCAAGCTGAGAAACGGTCAGCTGAAATCGGCTCGCTGTTCGACAGTGGATATTTATCAGCTAACTCATAGTGAATAATGGCCTTCAAATGTGTGGTAAGAGTGGAGCATATTTGGCACATTTCTAACAGGGCTATTATGCTTCTGATTCTGAGCTTCTAAGTAACTGTGAGAAGAATAAAAGTTGCCCTCAAATTTTACTTTCCTTACGGCGATTTGTATGATTCAAGTTATTCTGATGGAAATGTTGAACAATCAGATCCATATTGGGTTCTGTGTTTTGTTCGTTGGACTACAAAGCGCTACAGTTTTCTTCATTTTCTAAAACTTAGTTAAAGTTTGACTTCAAAAAGATTTCGGTGCACATAACTAAGAGAGACATGCAGAATTTTTCTGAATTTTTCGGTTGGATGGGTGGCAGTGGTCCTAGAAAACGTAATTAAAAGCATCGACTCTTACCAAACTTAATCCTAGTTCTGAAAGACAACCCTTTGTGCACCCGCCTCCTTCTTGACATGCACACCTTTGCTTGGGTTTTCAAATATCAAATGAAAGATAATCATAAATTCAGTACGTCTATATAATGAATGAAATCTTCCGAAACTCGAGTGTTCTAGGTTGAGTTTGGACAGAGTTGATAAAGAAAAACGGACTGTCCTAATGATGATTTGCACAATAGGTTAAAAACGAACCACTGTTAGTCGATCACTCCCATGTGGAGCGGCACGCACTTTATCCGAATGTGTACTGTATGTCTCCTTTTAGACTTTACGGTAAAGTAAGTTTGAGCATGAGGTCGCAATCGCCGGGAGAGAGGGTATTTTGAAATAAACATGGGCTAAACATCATAAACGAACGATTCAACTTGGTTTCAGATGAGTTTCCCGCAAAACTAAATCTGTTCGCAAAGTGGGCCAACTTTTGAAAGCGAATAACGCTACAGTAGTGCATATTTCTCTAAAGTGGGCCAACTTTCGAAAGCGAATAACGCTACAGTAGTGCATATTGTATTTCAGGGCACGGATACAACTTTTTTACCTCAGAATACAGAAGCGGGATAACGCTTTTAATGACGAGCATCATCTTTCATCGTGGTATTTATCCCGTGGATTACACCACAATTAAGTTGGAGTGAATGAAGTTTGGAGGGAGATTCTCCATCTGCAGACTCGTACAAAGGTTCCGGAATGCTAACTCTACCGACTCTTTCCACGAGTAACTGAGTGTATCTACTGCGAAAATTAAGTGGGTGGGGTGGTCAGTCTTGGTTGATCTGTTCGTCGGACTAGACAATTTAGTTGCAACCATTTTGCAATAAAACGCAGATGCGTCACTGACGCTTTGCGTCCTGTTGACGCAGCTGGTACTGGGACGCTTGCAATTAACTTGCCCTGCCCAGGGAACTAGCCAGTTGCTGTTACACTGCCTGACTTATTAATGCTTCTCAAACGACATGGTCAGATTTGAAGTAAGTTATGCGGTCTAATTTGAAAGTAGGTCCTATGAATACCGAGTTCTGTGTATCATCAGCCAGGAGGTGAATATGACTTTATGTGAACTAATGATGAAATTCACGTGCCGAAAAAAACTAGTCGATACTTGCCGAAAAATGGTGCAGAATATAGAAAACAGTGTACAGACTGTGCTGTGGAGGCAATTCTGTTTGGTCAGAATTTCCCAATGATTAGGGAAGCTTTGGAGGCTCTGAAGGTAATTTCACTGCACAAATCGTAGCTCTTTCGTGCTAGCCGGTGGATGCTGGTCGTCCGTAGGGGGCTTGTATAAAGTCTACGGAGGACTTTGTTCAGTAGCACTTGACGGAAGTTACTCGGTTGAGTTACATGCAAGGTAATTTTTGTAACAGCAAGTACTTCTTAAGTGTTTGGGCTTGCAATTGTTGATTAAGCTTCTTCGTAAGGTACTTATGTGGAGAGCGGATTTTAACAGCAAGTACTTAAGTGTTTGGGCTTGCAACTGTTGAGTAAGCTTATTCGTAAGGTACTTATGTGGAGAGCGGATTAGAGTTGCACTTGATCACCGGAGAACGTTATTGGACTTTGACTACATCGATTAGCTACACAAAAGTAAAGCAGTGGTGTTCGAAATTGTTGAATCGCTACTCAGCCGCCTAGTGCCAATAGGCTCTTCGGATATAGGTCTCGGAAAACCCGTCGCATTTACTGTGCAAGCAAAAGAATTCGCGACGTAGTTGACTTTAGATTAACCTGGTGAAGATCGTAAAGTTTACTTATGTGGTCAGGATTGGTAACGGCTATTCATTATTCACGCATCAATCGCGCATCATGAAGAATGGAGTCATGGCCTTCAAATAAGAGTCAAAGCATGCTTAGTTGTCGCATTTCCGCATTCCCAAAGCACATACCTTTTGGCCACAGATTAACGTCAGAACATACAATGAAAACTTATAATAGCGTATAAATCGAACGTCTAGTACTGCCCTTAAATTGAAGCTGTGTTGGGTCTAGTCTCTGCCTTTAACACAGGGGGCTGGGATTAACAAGACTCAATGAACAAAACAAATGAATTGTCAATGTGGTCCCTGAGGTAGGATTATAATTGATCCACGGTTCCAGTGCTGATAATCTTGACAACTACTCTATACGGTATACTGAACAACGCCTCACTGTCTCATTGGGACATGGTTTTCTCCGGACGAATTCGCCTTCTGGAGCTACTGTGACTGTAGGCACTGCTGTGAGAAGCAGTTGCTCTCCCGAGTCACAGAACTCAATTTGTCAATGAAACTGTCTTGAACCGTTTTGAGTACATGCCTACTGGACCCAGCAAAAACTAGGTGAAAGGGGCCAAGTGTAAAAATAAAACTACTGGATATCCCCATAGGATGTTATGTAATCTCTGATCAATGAACCTCCGTAAGAACAACTCGAGCAAACAAATTACCATCAGAGGTGATTGAATTTGACTGTATTTGACATATAGCTCTGAAGAGAGGAACATCATAACCAACTTCATGAAAAGATGAAAGAAAACATGCTTTGATTTAGTTCGTATTTCCGTCTTTATGACTGTGCGAAATGTCGTGCCATCTCATCCAGACCCCCTTTACAAACCTAAAATGTACAAGGGGAACGTACAGTGAGTAGTATTCCGGAAAAATGCAAAAGCTCTTGATGACCAAGTGAGATGTTAGAACAGCAAAACAACACACTACATACTCAGTCATTAGGATGAGTTTCGTAAAAACGGAACAGAATTTGGCCAAAAAAAGTATCTCAGACTTACCTTTGCAGGTGGATTAACCAACGGATTTCCATCCACTGTTGCTGTTGGACACAACAACGGTGTCCACATCAAATGTTCCAACTTTGTTATGGATTTTGGTAGGCTTTGAAGAAAATTATCTCCTAGCCACAGACAACGCAATCTGGTTAATTCACCAAACTCTTCGGGTAATTCCGTCAACTGATTGTCGAACAGCAGCAACGTTTCGAGGTTTTTGAGACTGCCGATTGCAGGAGGAAGAATCCGTAGCTGATTGCTACACATGTCCAAGAATTTCAGATTTTCTAACTGAAGTATTGGGGCCGGGAATTCTGAGAACTAAAAAAGATGTGGAGATTGATGAAATCCAGTTGATCGTACTGGTTGGAAACATCGTGGCTTGACGCAAACAATGCAAATACTACGGATTAGTCTAAGCTCACAGAAACGGTAGATTTGCAGCGTGTTTTGGTTTATGGAACAGCGACGAAACGGAATATTTTGTGCCACAGTAATTTTTCTATATTTGACAATTGGCGCACCACACGTCTAAATTGTCCAGACTACTCGTTTCACGATTATTTTTGTACCTTTTAGGGAGGAAGAACTCTTTGCAGGTTGCGACAGATGTACCTTGACTGACGCTGTTTTTGTTGTTTGAGTAATGATAATCAAGAGATTAAAAGCAAAATATTGCTTCAGCGGCCTTTTGTCGAGGCTGGATAAAAGTATGCGTATAGATGATTTAAACGGTAATGCACAATTTGTGCTCCCGGATACTCTCTCCAAAGTATAAGTTCGCAAATATATAATCTGACTGGATCTACTTAAAGCCAGACAAGATTGTAGAACACGACCTTTGAAACTGAAGAGCCGTTCATCCTGTCTACCTTGCTCCGGCATGCCATTCTAAAAGACCCCACGTTTGCTTCCAGTATGCTCTTTCCAAGGTCAGTTCGTTCAACTGTGACACCCTTTCTGTTCCTAGTTGCCATGCCACCCAAGAAAGCAAGAGGGCTGGGATATTGCCAGGTGTTTACCCATTGTTTATTTTCCACTCAAATGGGGTCAGTTTAATATCAAGTACTGGTTTACAAACGCTCTGTTGCAGCAAGATAACTCCTGCTATTTTGTGTTTAAAAAGTTCAGATCTATTCCTATTTGGCTGTGAATATGTAGAGACCTGGCTTCTCTACCAAATCAAGCACTTCTTTGGATTTCAGCAAAGCCGTATTTGTTTGTTCATGGATCGATTTTTGAGGATGGTATGAGAGCCTACTATCGAGAGTATCCTGAAATACGACTACGCGACAACAGATATGACATCAGCAAACTTTTGTTTGTGTGATTCTTGATGTAATTGAGTTTGATTTGGTGACAGGGGGGTCAAAAGCTAAAATGGATTAAAATTAGGGCTCTCAACCAATGTCTCGTTCCAAAGCATCGACAGTGGATGCAGCACCACCATAGCAGTCTAAATTTAGACGAACAGAGTGATCCAAGCTCCAATCTGGAGCGCTAGAAAATGGTGTTTTTCAGATCTCCGTTCACTTCACACCATGTTAGGAGAGACTTTCTGGATGCAGTGACCATCCTCCGTAACAGTTCGACACGGTAGGATACGATACATCTCAGACCGAAGCAGTATCTATCAAGATGTGAAGTGTTTTCACCATCTGATTGCGTGCACAGCGAGCGAGGTAGAATTCCTCGCAACAGGAATTCAAGACCAAAGGCGTAGTACCCCATCACTGCCATCCAGACGTCGCACTGCACCGTTCTAACCAGCGTTAAAAGCGGATGAACATTCTTTTCTGTCGTCCAATTCGAAACCGCTCGTCCAACTAAAGACTCCATTTAGATCAACATTTCACTATTTCGGTGTTTCAGTAGGAAGCCTCAGTACGCTCTACACAGGTGCATAATAATTAAATGAGATGATGGAAGCGATGATATGTTGTCACACCATCTTAGCTGGTCGAAAGTTCGTAGCAGAATAGTTTAGCCTTCAGCTTCATCGCGGTATGGGATCCCCTGTCTATTCGGCAGATGCGCTCCAGACGTTATTTTCAAATAAAGATGGGATTGCATAGAGTTATTCCACCTATGAATGAACAAATCCATTCACACTATTGATAACACTAAGGTAGACTCAGGATTATCTTAAAATCATTCAGAGCACACAGTAAAGCTTGAGTAGATTGATCGTTACCACTTCAAAAGGCTTCAGTCCATCCAAGAGCTTGTTTCGAACAGTGACGTAGAAAGAGGTATAATGGTCAACTTTGGGTTTTATCTTCACTGAATGCATTATGGTCGATAACTTAACTTCCAACTCGTTGCAAGTTAAATCAAGGTCAGACAGCAGTATACAGAATCGTTTGAACAGATCTGAGTTTTAAAGCATACCATTTGCAGGCAAACTGATAAATGCAATGAATGACTGATAAAACCGAAGCTGCCTTTGGTCGGCAGAGCCCTTTCAGGTTCTGTGCAGCGTATGTTCAGATACGGACTACATTTAAAGTTTGTCTAAACCTATTAAAATCTAAGTAAGGAGGCCACGCTGGTACATTTGTCACCTGCCTGGAGGTGACAGGATCAAGATATGTGTTTCGTCGCAGCAAAAGTTTGGACAGCTGTCACCTCAGAAAGACTGTGTGGTGTGTAAGTCAGTTTGACTCTGCGGAATGAAGTCTAATCAGGAGTATTTTTGTGCCACATGAAACAGGGGTCTGGAAAATCTAGGTTCTGCCTAAAAGGTTGCAAGAAAAATGACTGAGAATTCGAGCAGTCAGTTCGGCTTGGTGATTATCAATCGCGTCATCTGAATTTGTTTAGAGTAGTTTGAAAAAGAATCCCTTCCGAACGGCAAAAACGAAAATGCAATCGCGTTGCAGCTTTTCAACTCTATCGTCAAGAATGCTCAAGATTAAGTTTGCTGATCTTCACAAAAGCATGGAAAATCTCTGTTCTAGTTAGTATGTAATGAAGACCAAGACAAAATCAACAAACCTGATTATTAGCAAGATGCAGCGTGTGCAGATTTTTCAGATCGGCTATGGTGGGTGGCAACTGTCTGATCCGATTGTTTGAGACAGACAGCTTCTCCAAACGTGTCAAAGAGCCTATTTCTGCCGGAAGATTGTGCAAGTCATTCGTATCCAGGAGTAGTATTCGCAATCTTGTCAGGTAGCCTGTTGAGGAAAGAGCATGCTGTTATGTATGAATCCGGAACAAGAAGGGTTTGTTTATTGTAGACAGGCTCACTGGGAAGGGAGTAGCTTTTGAAGTGGGCTATTTCTTAAGACAACTGAACGTGTTTCACATCTTGCTAAACTGATGTAGCTGATGTACTCTGACCTGCACGACAGTACGTGTGTTGCACACAATTCAAAACCTCATCCGAAATATTGCAATGAAATCAGGTTTCTGTCTCAATGCAACGCCAGACGAAACCAAATCAGTCCGCTGAAAAAGGTGAACCAGTTGCCTCCACCTGAAGTTGTATAAAATCCAGAAAAGCGACTGTCTTGTTAGTCGAGTTGAAAGGTCCGACTAAAGACTTGTGGAAGGACAGTTCAAGCAAGAAGGGGGACAGAATAATCAGGCGTTTTGTTTATTAGCGGTACGGTGTTCATTTCCTTTCGACCATAGAAGTATTCGTATCATTCGTTTCACAAAAAATGAGTCAGTTGGTTCGGTCCCAATAAAATCTGCTCTCCAGCGGAAGCCATCTTTAAACGGGGGCTAATGCTGCCATTCCCCAGGGAATACCTTTAAAGACACTGTCAAAATAACCCCAAAACGGATGCAACTCAACCCGAAGTAGTCACTCATGTCTGCGCATTCACCATTAGATTAATGTTCACTTGTGTTAGTAGCAGAGAGGATCAGATTAACGGTCTGTCGCGTCTGTCGTGACCACACGAATTCGATCAAGAAAAAGTTCTAAGGTTGCTTCTGGCACGTGTCTTATTCTGCAAAGCTCTTTGGTTATCACTAGTGTACAGACAATCTTATTTGACGGCGTTCTGAGCCTGGTTTGCCTCTTCGAATTAGGGTGAGTACGACTGGTCCAACTCGTGACTGGTTTGTTACGTGCTTGTATCAGCCACCTAGTGTTTATTTGCGGTGCTCCGGTAGTTCGTCTGCGTCGCTAATGGAAGCAAATGAACGCCGCCGATCGGATGTCCGTCTTCTCTGTTCAACTTCAGTTGTGTTCGAATGCTCTGGCGATCTGCTTAAAACACAGTAGAACACTTTTTTTCAGTCGTGATGCCCTTTGCGTGTTCCCGTCACTGCCGTCTCTAAATCACCTATATGTGTAAAATTCTCGACTGATTGGTAAACTTTTGCAAGCAAACTGACAAGCTTGCCCGAGCTATCGCTATTGTAAGAGGAAAATGACTGTTCCTATATAAAAATAACGGTTTCTACTTGATTCTACCTACATTGAAAGTTCGGCATGTTAAGAAAACCAGTCTCAGTCGAGAAACTATAGGCAATGCAATGGGAAATTACATCACCGGTGCGTTTTAAGGTGCCGGTCGACTAGCAAGTGTACAAAAACGACGTAACGAATTTCCACTTTGTCACTTCCCCTTTGCCAACAGATCAGTCTTATAAGACTTCCTGGATTGTCTCTCCTTTGAGTGTGTTGGGTTTTTGGTCAGTTTGAGGAGGTTTTGGGACTAAACCCATCATTGCAAAACCGGGCGGGCTTTAGCTTGCCAATGTAGGTGGTTACCACAACCTGTTATGCGCCAGATGATATTGTAATCGGTGGACAACACGAGGACAACACTGTTTGATAAATAAAATTTCTGAAAGGACTGTGGGTCCGATGTAAACCGATTATTAGAAGAATAGTTCGGACTGCAGTTTCGTGCTCTCTCGGTAAATGTAACATTTTCACCTGACCTGAAAGCCACATTGATATTTGCGGTTTGGCTTGACTTCTAAGGAGAAGAGTGCGTGACCTGATACATGCTTTTGCTACAATAATTTGGTGTGACAGTTTGAATACTATCAGAATTTTCTTGGAGATTTGTACCTCACAAATAGAAGGAAAGTTACGTTCTTCCCACTGTTTAAGTACACATTTTTTGCAAAAGCATGGTCTACATTCCCCTCCATTCTTGACTATTTTAAATGGAGTCATTTCGTACAGGATCTATTATGGTGGTGACGTGACTACAGAAGTAAACGATTTGTTCGGAAGAGTATTTGCCAACATGTGCTGTCTTCTGTTACCTGGAACAAGGAGCGAGTGTTGACCATGTTTGTCAGCGTACATTTTCTCTATAGATCTGAAAGTTCGCCCTTAGTTGAACAAAATTTGCAACTGACGTCTGCATAAGATCACCGCTGTATACGAATGATCTGGCTTGTCAAACAACAAGAAAGAATGGACTATTTAAAAAGGGGTAGACCCTTATTGTTACGAAAAACACGTAATGGAAGGCACTCTCACACTACACCGAATCTACTCTTCAAACCGCTTTTGGCGAATGATAAAGAAAATTCCTGTGGGATTCGTAAGAACTTGCTGTTACTCTGTTGATTAACAAAGTGCATTCCAAAAATAATATGCGGTAGTCTATGGTAAACGCGAATTTGTCATCGGAGCAAACGAGCTCTCCAATTATCAGCTTCTTTTTGGGAAGCTTTATGATGTCCCCAGAATCGGGCATCCTTTCGAAGTGAACTCTCTGACACTTACGGATGGGTTACCTGGAATTTAGACACCATTTTGAAATGGTGGTATTAAGAATTCTGGTACCCAAAGCCTGATAACGGAATCAGTGTAACCGCAACACAGTTACTGAAATCCTTCTATATTATCGATCAAAGCCTTGGCGAGAAAAATTTAGCTTATCAGCTTGATAGGAGTGGTGGTCGTGTCAGACTAAACAGCTGACAATGTCAACGTTCAGTTCTAATGATCCAGTTTTGGCTTAATGGAATTTGGAATAATTTCTGAGGGTCTGCTAGTCGAAACAAAATACGCGACTTGTGAAAATATGCCATGAAGCTGGTTTGGATGCTCAAATCATTCAGAAGAAGTAAATTGACCATGTTGTGGTCACCATGAAAGTACTATGACAAATTGTGACATCATGCCATTTTGCCGGCCTAGACTTCACTACTACATACCGGGTGCAGTACCAGGTTGATCTGATTGCTTGTGGCGTTGTCTGTAGTTGTTCATAACAAATTTAAACTTAGATTTTCCAGGAATAAGTCAAATCATGCTCGGATGTCAAGCCGTATGAGTTGGTTTAATGATACCAACACAAGACTGAAGTGGTAATGGACTGTCACTGACTGTCATGACAAAAATTAATGACAAATGACCGACCATACGCGAAACACGAGTATCACTTTCGTAAAGTCACTGGAAAGTCAGGGACGAAAATTCCTCAGAGGAAAGTGTGTTTCATTAGAGTGCCAGATTATGATATGCGCCCCAAATAGAAAGGCATATCCGTTGAATGTTAGTCTTTCCGTCCTGCGTTGGAAAAAGGAAATCCTATCACAACCGGTTTGGGTATCTCTTACTGAACGAGACTAAAACAACTACGTACCTAAAGACAACGTATTCCTAAGGACGCGTTTGTACACGTTTAGCCAAATGAACGAGGCCAATTATGTCTGGCTTTTGAAGTGACCAACAATAATCGTAAACCTGTCAACAGTGGTATTTCATGTGTCCAGGATGATTTAGCGCTGAATCTGTAGAATTTCTATTAAGCAGTTGCCTGCTGGCTTACTGGCATTCCAACTATTTACGGAAGGAATGAATCACAGGACAACTACTTATGACGAACCTAGGTCACTTTTCTGCCCACCACCTACAAGTAGCATTGTTCCGAAGGATGGACACTGTGGAGTTTCAAAACCATCGAAAGAGTGTTCCAGGGTTTTCCTAGCTTGCGGTGAGGTCGAGCAGCCTTTATCAATCTCTGATTTAACACTGTTTTCAACTGGGTGATCGAATCGTGTCTTGTACACTTCCCTCACTAGCTCAGGTTATTAGACTAAATAGTGCAGATTGCAGGTTCTAGGGGGAATCTATATGGTGCAATAATCAGCAGATATTTGCTTGAATCTGGGTTCAGTACACTGTTTAGTCCCGGCGGTTGTGGCACTGCTGGGGTACAGAAACTCAGATAACTACTAATCTAACACCGTTTGGACGTATTTGATTCCTGTAGACACTACATTCACTGATAAGTGACCAGTTTACAAGTGTGCTTTGGTGTTTGCTGGATGAGAGTTTCAATTTCTTCGAAATTGGCAAAAGCTAAAAAGTTATAAAACGCGTACCGACGAGCATTCAGACATTCAGAATACAACATCAAACGCCAAAAATTTTCACAAATCTGACACACCGCTCGTGATGAACGAGTCCAAAGCGATTGAATGCCATAATAGAGGAAGCAGGCCAGATGGTCTTTATGACAAGTAGTTTTGCTCTATCTAGTCAGTTTTCTTAATGAGCTGTTCGGATGCCTTCCGTCGCTCTGGAGCCGACCATCGCGCTGACCCAAAAATTGCCTTTAAATTGCATTGCAAGACGTGTAGTCACAAACCATCGGCCCATGAGAACCAGCATATGGCGGGTTGTACGAAGTTATCGAGTCTCCGTTTTTTGTCCTGTTATATTATTTTGAAATGCTCAAGTCTGCGAGTAAAGGTAACAAAAGAAATCTCAACACATCACGACCCCCGTACCTTGACAATAAAACAGAGAAGTAGTCTAGTTCTAAGGGTTGTGTACACACTCACACGGTTGCATTGCGCGAAGAATTCTTGAGCGGGAGTCATTAAATCAAAGGAGTACTGTAAAACTCACCTATTTCCGGTGGCACATTGCAAAGCTTATAGTTTAACGATGACTGGCGATCGGGGCTCATGCACAACACTTCCAGTTCTCTCAAGGTGAACAGTTCAGCGGACCTTTTCCAAATCTTTGCCCTGGAGTTTCAACTTGTACATACTAGGATATTCCCTGTCCTCTGTCTCAATGTGCAGCCGCAGTGAATTGCCGGCCATTTTGAATGCTGTTGTTTTCTCACACCCAGCATTAATATTGCCTTCGGTTTATCGATTGCTGTTGGTTGTCAAGCCTGCATCAGCCACTCAAGACCGTTCAATCACTTGACTATCTAAACAGCTTTAGTTTAAATTATAATTGTTAGTGTGATAACAGTCTCACTGGTCTTGTCCTCATTTGACTTGTTGCTAATGTCACGTGTGAGCAGTTGGCTCGAAGGGTGAAGAGGCACTGAGAAGTACAATTCAAAGTCAATGCAAATTAGGTAGCCAATAATCGTTAACGGTGGAAAAGGTGACTACCAGCACTCTTTATGCGTTTGGACTGGTCGGTACCATGATCCCTCATCAGGTTTTGAAACTTAGACAATTTTTGTTACGATTTTCTTGTAAACGGTCATCCAAACATGTTTTAGTTTTTCCGAAAATGTCTGGGATGCCGTTGATACTTTTTTCTTACCGCACAGCACTCGTCACCTCGTACTGTACTCGTTGTGAAATGCCGAACGTCAAGACTGATTTCCGGCTTATTCGGTTTCCGGCCGAAACCCTGCGGGGTGAAATGACTCAGCGGTTGGAGCGCGAATTCACTGACCGGAAGGTACATGGTTCGAAACCGACCTCTGTCCGTCGATCTCCCCTGTCTAGATTTGGCCAATCTGGCGGGATCACAGCCCTCGTGCTTCCTTCGAGTGGCATGGGAGCCAGGCACCAAAAGAGTGTTACAGCTGAATTATCTATCTATCTATCTATCTATCTATCAATCTAATCTATCTATCTATCTATCTATCTAATCTATCTATCTATCTATCTATCTAATCTATCTATCTATCTATCTATCTAATCTATCTATCTATCTATCTATCTAATCTATCTATCTATCTATCTATCTAATCTATCTATCTATCTATCTATCTAATCTATCTATCTATCTATCTATCTAATCTATCTATCTATCTATCTATCTAATCTATCTATCTATCTATCTATCTAATCTATCTATCTATCTATCTATCTACCTATCTATCTATCTATCTATCTATCTAACTACCTATCTATCTTCATCAAACGGGTATACAACTGTTAAAACTGTCATGTTTGCTTAAACCACAATCAAGTTAACTCTAAAAACATACCCGCCATACTTCAACCATGAACATAAATATAATATACCAAAATTACCCACTCGAATGCACTAGCCACCAGGCTTCCGAGTTGTACAGTCAAATCGCTTAAGTACAGTTTATTAGAGAAGCAGTGTTTCGACCCATGTTCTAGTAAGTGGATAAAACAGGAAGAATACTTGGATGTTTCAACCACACATGTGGGCACCAATGGTGATGAATGTGAGTGTACCCCGTGACATCATCAAACGGGTATACAGCGGTTAAAACTGTCATGCTTGCTTAAATCACAATCAAGTTAACTCTATAAACATACCCACCATACTTCAACCATAAACATAAATATAATATACGAAAATTACCCACTCGAATGCACTAGCCCCCAGGCTTCCGAGTTGTACAGTCAAATCGCATGAGAAAACCTTATTCCAATAATTAAGGTGATTAATGTGAATGTCTTTGAAATGAGTCCGGCAGACGATGATGCAAAGTATCCCATCGCCGTTCTTAGGTACTTAAGTTTCAACTCAGTTGTGCATAAATACTTTGCTGCTGTAAATGTGGTGATTAAAACAGAATGAGATATTTCGGTTGAAAAGATTGCTACCAGCCCAGATAATAAAGAATGATAGCCAGCTATTGTAGGTCCTCAAAAAGAGGGTCTCTTTCTCAGGCTCCCAAAAGACTTGCCTCGTTTCCGGAACAATATGGAGGTAAACACCGTCAGTATTCAACGTACTGAGCAACTCCAATCATTGAATGCAGGACTATTGCTGTAGAATTTCTTAGTAAGATATGCGTCTGAATCTAAAGACGCCCTAAGAACTGAAGTTGTAGGTATAACAAGGTTGACTTGAAGTGGCTGCACTTTACTAATTCACAGTTCGACAAATATTCTGCAGTAAATCTCCACAAGGCAATGGTCTACAGTGACCACTTTTACACGGTGACCGATCCGCTCCGTCAAAGCCCAGCTGAGAACATATTACTGTCAGTAGCTGACAAGAAATTAATAACCATTCGTTCATCTTACTGATCCGCATGTAGGGTGAATGAACATTCCAAACCGCTAATCCAGATGTAGCTCATTCGCCAAAATCCTACGGCTTTCACTTATTAGTATAACAGGGAGGATACTTTAACTCGATGTTGAGTTGCTTATACTACCTGAGCAAGTTTTTAATGTTCCAAAGCTCCAGATGGACCAACTAATTTTGTGACATCAAACGATGTTGAACACAAGGTTCCGAGAAAAACTTTTGTACGCACAAGCAAGTAAGGAAAATACAAGGAGTGCATTTTCTCAAAAAAGCATTCAGTGGTCTGCTTCAACTCGAATTTGTTTCCCTATAGCATGACTGACCTTCGGGCAAATATCACGGTGGCCTTAGCTAGATGTGATGATAATGTCACAGGAATAATTGGCGTCCACTAGCAGTAGCAGTATGGCACTGAACCGTGTAGACTGTGGTCGAGTTCCAAACGGGTCGACACGTTGGCCACCAGGAAAAAATTCCTTAGTCTGTTCTAGTATGATGGTCACTCCTACAATATGCAACGTTTACGGTTTAGATGTTACGCCGCAATGGTTGGTCAAACTACTGAATCCATAACTGTCAGTTACACCAGGTGTGATAATGTGCTACATCTAAGTCCATGGTATTTCTGGAAGGAAATGTCTGCTGCTGTCCGCTGTTGATTGCTGGTTGTCAGGCGTGAAGAGTTCCCTTCAAACAGCTGCCTCCCATTCAGCGTGAGAACGGAGAGTCTGGATCGCCTGTGCTTTTTTCATACTTATGTCTTTCGAAAGTTCAGCCTGGCTGAAAATTCTGCAGTTCTGAACAACCCATCGAATGTGCGTGGGTTTTAGTTTATCACTCGCGATTCATTACGGCGAAACACAATGGAACAGGTATGATTCACAGAAAGCTCAAGGAGAACAGTGAATACGGGAGTGGTTTTCTGTCGAAGCTATCGGAGCATGTGAAAAATTCTATGATTTAATCTTGTCAGCTTCATACAAAATCGCTGTCAGCAGGATTTCATGTTAAAGTTTTGCGCGTAGAAACTGAAAACGTTGATACTGAAATACAGTCGACAGGATGTTGTTTCTGGTTAAAATTGACTGACCACAGAAACCGTTTGTGTCACTTTTTCATCTATCCCAAACGTGCCTGCCGGACAAAACAGATGAAAGTTCTGCCAAAGTGCAAACAATATACCATTACAGTAGAGCCAAGGTGTGTGCTGTCATCATTTTCCAAATAGGGCGGATCGCGCGCCTTAGATCAACAAAAGTCATCGAACGGCAACCTACAAGAAGCTTATAATGTGAAGAAAATTTACTGGGAGAGTAAAAGTTCCATGGCAGAAAACAGAAAGCTGGTCAACATGTATGACTGCGCAATGCGGTTTCCGTGATTAAAGAGTAGGTGGCGCTGTATCCTATCTAAGAGCGAGCGGTTAAGTGTCCAAACGACTGACAGTTACTTCGCTTGTTCGAGAATCTCTAGAATTTTTTCAGAAGCGCACTGCTGATGATTCTCAATAAGGATAAAACTGCTCTCGAGTGCTTCGCAGCTTCTCCACATAGCATGGCTCCACCTACAATGCAAAATATGTTCCCACAAGTTCAGCTTTTTACCCGATAAAAAAGCGGCCTTCAGCCCGTTGATGAAGATACCGGTTTATCCTCATCTGAAATTTTGGGAGCTTACCTAAAAAAATATCACCCAGTGCTCCCTAAATTTCCGTCCATATGTTAAAAAAGTTTCATTTTAATGTACACTGAAAATGTCCAATTTTGCTTCTTGCAACTCAGCTGAGTAAGCTGATGATGTCGCTATGAAGAGTTCCTCGGGATAACCACTCACCGACGTTCTAGGACCAAATATAGACAGCCGGTAGTAGCTGATACACAAACATTGCTTTTACAACAGAAGTATCTTGATGGTATTTTACACATCAAAATGTGATATACTAGTTGCGTTGACCCTCTCAATCAGAACATTATATACTCCTGTAAAAACTGAAAAAAGGCCAAACGTCCCTTTTCCATGTCAGTGTTTTGATCGCCGACTTTCCTCTGTGTATTGAAAATTCGTGCAGAATAGACGATATCTGAATTTTACAAGTTTCTGTCCACCACAGCGCAAAAGTTTGTTAGTTCTTATTTTGTTCAATGCATCTAGCTAGATTAGCATAGCGGGTACACTAGCGGCGGGGAAGTGAACCTTCAAATAGTTACTACGGCCGCTCACTCGGAAAGCTCGTCGCCACTAGCGATAAATCGAAAATGTCAAACACAGTACCAAAAAGGATGAGCAGAGTAACCTGGGCTCTACAATATTAGCCGACCCTAATGTAAGCCAAGGTTACATTGATCAACCCGCTCGCTGGTTTGCCACTAAATTGGGCGAATAACAATTCTACTCAAAATTGTGAGAAATGACACCGAGGGCTTTCCCGTCAATCCAGTGCTGATAGCACATTTAGTGCAAAAGCACGAACAAAAAACGGCAGTCCCATTCGTACGGTACAGAGGAAACAGTATCCCAGGAGTGACCTACGAAAGTACATACATGCTACTTCGTCTCCTATGAGTCCTTACTACATGGCTGTTTTGGAGTACGGACAATTTGAGGAACATTTTGCGTCAACCTGTTACAGCAAAGTCATTGATTTGTATTCTTCACTCATTATATCACTGTGTGGATCTTACCGAGTGAATCGTCCAGTGGCAACTCGTATTTATTCACGATTAACATGGAATCTTTCAAAGGTTCCAGATTGTAGTAAAACTGCTCTTGGTTGGTATTTTTTCTCTCCAATCTCAGGATGACGTATACAGGTCACGGTCGCGATTTTTGAGATGTGACCACCTAGACACCTGTATTGGTTTTTGGTTCGTTTTTTTATGCATCTCTAGTAATTAAACCGCACTTATCTCACAGGTGTGGGATATATGATGGAAAAATTTCATCTGTCGTGAATGTGTGTATCATTTCTCTAAGTATTATTGTAGCGGTCAGCTCAATACATTTCTTGTGCGGTTGGTTCGCAAGTGTCCTCATCGCTATTGACGCTTGTTGCCAGTCCCACATCCGCCGTCAGCAAATGATGTTCGTTGTACAAGATTTCATACCTTTCTACTTGTTCATAAACAAATCTTGCTTGGTTTGGTCATGATTCTTTCTCCGGTAGTCAGTAGATTGAACAGCGGACTGGTCAGCCAAGCAGTTAAGTAAAACAGCGCACTCAACGATTTTCTTGATGGTTTGTTCAAATACCATATCTCCAATATCAATGCACAGTGCTCATACAAGTGAATTAATAACTCTGTCTACTAACTTGGCATGTGAAATCAGTCTCCTAACTGTCTCAAAGACATTTCTGTGTTTTCCACCGCACCTGGATTTCCGAATATTTGGTCATTCTAACTTGAGTCTCTGGCCGTTTAAGCGCCAAATTAGAGTCGTTATTCCAGCCTCAGAAATAGATTTGCTGTAATTCCAATCATTTGCGAACAAATTTTGTTTTGCGAGAGACTCACCTGGAACCCAGCTGAACCTATCGTTTGTGATGTTTCCAGACAACCGAATGTGCTGCACCAGGCCGCGTCATGTTTCATTTGCTACGATATTCGAGATATCGCGAAACATGTATATTCGTTACGCACTACTCATAAGGCTGATGAAAATTCCTTGACAGCCCACGACCGGAAACTCGAGGGCTGCGCCTACCTGATGAGCCCCAAGGAGGGCGAAACTGGTCGTGGGCTGTCGAAGAATCTTCAGCAATCTTATGAATAGTGAGCAGTGTATTACGAAAGTTTGTTTTACTGACCATTGTAATCCTTTATCTGAATGGAGAAATTCGGTGTTTCACAGAATGAGGTGAAATGTATTCAACAGTGCTGTTGGTGTCCCTTGTTAGTATCGTACACCTTCGGGAGGATCAATTCATTTCATCAATACACTGCTAACAATCGACCCTGAAATTAATTTAACTGGTCTTTACAGTAAACTTTTAGTAAACAGCAATAAAGGGGTTTACAGATCAAGTGAAATTTCAAAAGTTCGTTTTGTTTAACTCTTGAGAAACGCCGCTGAATTTCAAAACACGACGCGGATCTGTTGCAGCCACATTGGCTTGGCCGTGAAATAAAAGAAGTTGCTGACATTCGCAAGAAATGCATTGAGAATATTCAGCACTCCCAGTTCCCTAGCACTTAACGAGTGGGGATTTTTTCATCAGGACTTAATAACAAGCCAAGATGTAAATCTTTTGCTCCAGGGTAAATTACCTCTCTTAATTACCCAACTGAATGGCACTCACCCTCGGTAGAGTTACTGCGGGCAAATGGGATTGTTTTTCTTTGAAATTGAGGTGGAAGCGCATAGCAAGCTTCCATGACCCACAGGTTTACCAAATACTACCAGTTTATTGTAAAAACGACAGAGCCGACCAAACTTTGTTAAAATGCACTTTTATTTTCTCAAAAAAGGCACGTAAATGCACGAAAATTACAAAAATAGGTGGCAGTACAGGGAAACGTATAGAAACAACGTTTTCTATCAATTGACGAGCTGGTTGTTTCACGAGTAGTGTCGGTGGACTCCAGATGGCAGCTTAAAAAGCAGTGTGACCGAACATCACTAGCTGTTGTGGTGTTTAAAACTTCATGCCTCTCCTGGACTCAACACGATGACCAAAGCCACCAAAGCCCAGCCGATGATAAGGAAGAGAAATTTCCCTGGTTTATCACCTGAGCCATCTCTGATTTCATTTGTAAGCAGTTCGCAAAACACAACGTAGCAAAAGGTACCACAAGCCAGGCCCTGTAAGGTAGCCTCAGCAAACAGAAAGCTCGTAGAGTCCGATTGGTTAGTGACAGCCCAGCCAATCAATGTACCGAGTGGTGATGCCCCCGAAAATGTCAATATAGCGGCAACTTGGGAAACGTGCAGCTTCACACTGTTCTGTCGCCCGTTCCTGAGATGCCTTTGTTTGGTGGTCTCAGAGACCAAATTGATACCTATGCTGATAGCAATGATTATCTTGTGCATTGAAAGCGCAGCAAACAGGGTCAACAGGGATGTGTATGATTTGGTCAAGCCAAGTGCCATTCCCTCAAAAACACTGTGTAGAGAAATTGCACACAACAGCGTCAAAACCCTGATCCATCCGCTTTGTATAATTGTCGAATGGTGGTGATGATGCCCTTGGTGCTCTGACTCTACCGACAGGCATTCGAATTCCGGCATAAGCGAACCACGGGGATCGAGTACTTCAGGAAGAATCGCAACTGTTTCATTGACCGCAGTCAAACTGGTGGTCCGCTGACTTATGGATGAGCTCTGTGATGTGGTTCGACGAATGATTGCTCCTTGAATTGCACTACCGTCTTGATGTTGCATCGGCACATCTGTCCCTGGGGTTCTGAAGAATTCCAGTGTGATCTGTTCGACGCCGAGGATAAGGAAAAATCCCAGTAGTGTAACAAAGGATGCCAAAGGGAAGTCAGTTGTAACATTCACTTTTGCTAGCGCCGATTCAAAACATTCAATGGTGTCAATGAATACGTCCAGAAAACCTGAAACAAATTAATAATCACATGAATAGTTCTGAGAAAATGTTGTACCCACGGTATCGCGCACACCTGGGCATCATATGCGAAAGAAACACAAAAGTGGCTTGGAGTATGAAAATTAGCCCCAACATTCTCGAAAAAGTCATTCTACTCGGTTCTGTGGAATCTATATCAGACATCCTACTAAAGTTACGTTAGTAGTTTAGACGCTTTCGAACTTCAAATGCTTAGCCTTTCCCACAGCCTTTGCGCGACTGTTTTAGATGTCACAGCCGCACTATATCAGCAAATAAGCAAATGAAGAAACACATTCAGCGTCATTTATTTCCAGGTTATTGTTATTTTTAAGTTCCAAAACAAATCTTAATACCTAGAGGTCACAAGTATTTTTTAACTGAGATGATGTTTTTAAAAGACAAAACATAAAGGTTCACACAATCAAATCCAAATTCAGGTTCGCTTGCTAAAGTGCTACTGCCTATTCCATATGATGTATTGGGCGTTTGATTTTTGGAAAGGACTACTACTCGTGTATAGTGCTTGTCAACTAGTAGAAACTAGCTCAGATGAAAGAAGGAGGGGCAAGTACGTGGTTACACAATAGCAAATATACTCTATTGTGGCTACCCTTTCCGAGCATGTCAGCGAAGAGTTTGGAATGAACCATCAAAATATAGTCAGGATGATCCCACAATTTGTAATCTACCGACTGTTCACTGTTTTCTTGATTACGTCTGTTTTCTCACATAATATTGTCAAATTGATTTCAGATCTACAGGTTAGTGTTGTGTAGCAACTCACTGAGTGATAGTTAGCAAAATAGACAGGAATAATTGACCTTCCAAAACCCATAACGTTAAGATCAGACCATAGGCACAAATTTACAGCTGTTCTTATCTCAGACACGTCTACCCCTGAGTAAATCTCCTCGTTTGACTACCTTCCACTTTTTACTTCCCATCTGTAATCAGGTCAGCAAGATTTAGGAAGTAGTGAAGTAAAATGTACATTTCCTCCTGCATGGATGAACTCATGGGTCTCGGTGTTATACTGTGTCAGTGATAATGTCAAAAGAAATTTAAGCATAGACGTAGCACACTCTCCATAAAATTGCTGAAAACTATCCGACAGGTGGGGCTCCCGTGACAGCCAAACTGGCCTGCATATGAGTGTATCTGTCGAAATTTAAGGTTGATTATCGTAGGACAGACCTCATGTGTGGGCCTTTATCATATTTTAAACTTTTCCCAAATAGCGGTCAGCTTGCCAAATTTTGCGAAGCAGATCTTATTTGATAGGTCTGGAGTAAATCACGAGTGGATTGATCATTTGTTTCCGTTTTCAGAGCAAAAACCCAAACGCTTGGATTACGATCCGAATTACTGTGTGTACATCCCAGCTGATGTGCAGGAAAAAGTAGGTTCGTCCCTATGAAGTTTTGCTGATGAGCACGTATAGGTCGCTGCTATAAAAATAATAAACCTGGAAACTGTGGCTCAAGAACACTGTTAAGACATATCAGAGGTATCAAAGAGGGATTGCCCTGACAAACGTTGACATCGGCATTTAATGCACTTAGAGCCGATGCTTTGTTACTTTGTTGACCAATACATCCCAGTACTCACAAGCAGATGTTTTTGTTTGCGGCGAATCCTTATTAAATAAAGCTGTTGCACCCTCTAATAACTTTCGCGGAGACAGTGGACATCCATTTTTCCCACATGGGCTTTTCTCAAGAAAACTTCGGTGAGAAGATAAAGAGGAAGGTGCGCGATACAACAAGGTTGAATATGTGGAGTTGACGAAGTGTGATGCTAATGCGTTCACCAACATGGGAGATTGTAGTGGATTAAAAGACTTGTTACATTTACGGACGTGCTGCTCCGAGTCGCGAGTGCATCAGCGAGCATCATTTGACCTTTCATATTTACCTAAAATAACTTATCAATAGATATGTGTAAGAAAATGTTTTAACCCGTTCATGCTTACACAATTTTACATTCGTCGGAACAATCTCCCGTGCATGCGACCGCATCCTACAGTTGGCGTTGGTTTGCTTGTAGGTTTGAGTAAATAGCCTGTGTGCCAACAGTCAATCCTAATCACGATTGCACAATATACCTTTATATTGAAAACCAGTCCACAAAAGCCGTCCAAGTTTTATTGCCCTGAAAATAGGCCACTGAATTCACTATGCTACCTAAAAGGACTTGCCATAATAATTCATCACACAGAGATCCTGAGCGCTATCTGATCCAATTAACTTTTGTAAATGACAGTAACAAACTGGTCTCCGTACACTGTGCTTAACGACATTAACGGCCAGTGTTTTGGATTTTAAGTAATTTACCTAATATAGGCCACTTCGTCCAATTAACTTTTGTAAATGACAGTAAAAAACTGGTATCCGTACACTGTGCTTAACGACATTAACAGCCAGTGTTTGGGGTGTTAAGTAATTTACCTAATATAGGCCACTTCTGGGAAAGTCAGCATTAAGCTCTTGATGGATCTGGCCTGGTTTAGTATGGATCGCCGGAGAACTTACACATTTCTTACAAGCGTGGCTTCGATACGGAGAGAGTTCCTTTGTTTAGTATGACGCTTGTCGTACGGAGCTAAGGAAATGATGTATGAGAACTTCAAGGACCTCTGTTTCACAGCAAGCGGGTATGACTTGCGGAGTGGATTTGATCGGGGGCATTGAAAATTGTGGAAGCCTTTGTTGATACACTGTATAGGATCTCATTTCTAGTTGCAAACATGTAAACGAGTCATATGAATGATAAAAGTGAGTGAGTTTGCATCACCAAGTCAACAAAGTCCCTGGATGGTGAGTAGCGTGTAGTTTCTTTGAGTTGCGCCTTGTGCCCCTCACCTACCATTTTCCTGAAGATAAGGAATACCATGTGCATTTTGAATGTTAAATAATCATAGGTATGTACGCCAAGCGAGGCACACAATTCACGCCGTACGATGATGGTCCTTCAGAGGATACTGCTGCAAGGAGTGTGAACTCTATTGGATACTCCTTACCTTGGTTAGGACTGTAAGGACTACTCAGGTGCGAGACTCTTGTTTGGTTGCGTACATTTGAGATAGTATGCCGTATGATGATCGAGTACGCAATAAAGTAGGAAACATTTGTGCGAAAATGAAAAACCAAAAGCACCGGTTTTTCTGTATGAAACATCTATTCACACTCACACACCAATCCTCAATGATTTAGTTTATATCTATAAAAGCAGCTGTCAATACGGTGATGTTGAAAGCAACCATTTTGATATTACCGCTTTTATGAGGTAGCTATCCCAAAATCGTAGTTTAGTCAAGAGCCGTGGTTTAATGTACTAGATAAAATATGACGAGATAATACGAAAGAGTAGTAGCTCTACTTACCGACCGAGAGAAGCGCGCCAGCGGCCAGGCAGTTGGACCGGCTAATTATCTTCGTCCTTCTTTCAGGTGTCCAATACCGCGAAAAGCAACCAGATTTAGTCAATAAACTGTCAGTTTCTTGATCAGCTGCGGACTGCTCTTTTCGGTCAACACAGTTCACAATAAGAACGGGAAGTGAGCACGCAAGGAAAGAGTAAAGGAACATGACAGCCGCCAAACCCAGTTTTCCTCCGGTCAGAGGAGTTCTGTCTCCCGTTCCATGAAGAACGCCATGCTCACCGCCGAGTGCCACGCTTGGTAGATATAGCACAAGGAGACTCTGTATAAAAGAAGCACGAAACGATTGGACTGGTTTCATGAAGCACTGTTCAGTAGCTTTTTTCCGTAGGAGGTCTTTTCAGATGAAAGCACTTTGTGCACGAATGGAGTCATGCTGTCAGTGCAGCATTTTATTTGGACAACATATCTCAACTACTGTCATTACCACTAGTAGCAGTGTATCATCACCGGAGACGGATCTGCAAAATGGAGAATGGTCTTATCGAGTCGCTTGTGCTCAATGTTTCCTATCCTTTGTAATTCTCTAAGCTTTTACCCACTCAAAATCCATAATCTTTTCACGTTCAAAGAACAAGTTTCGGCTTGTTCGCGAAGGGCATTAGGACCGAGTTAGAGCTTTCAATTTCGCCATCCCACAAGGATCGAAACTGAGTGGTACAAGAGGAGCTTGCCGCAAACTGAGTGGAAGTTTCCAGTCTTGCAATTAAGTAGGGTAGTTAGAATGAATCAACAAGAATTAATTAATTAATTAGAATTAATTAAAATTGACCCGTTCTTCCAAGACAAAAAACATTTTAGTTTCAAGTCGTCAAATATCACTATTTTCATTCTGAGTAGGTTTGATGGCAAATAAAAGGGCCAACCGACGAGATCGTATTCGAACAGCGCCGTTCAGCGATTGGTGATCCATTGGCATTGTTTTTCGTCTTGAAACTGTCAATATATTAAGCAATGGAATCTTCGTAACCCACTATCACTTTAAACTTCCGCCACCCCCAAGCCAATATCTTGTTCCGATGGAAGGAAACCTCAGCACTCGCACTACCCTTCGAGAAGTCAGGGAACACCAAGACAAATTATGTAAATCTGCTTTGTCTGACGTCCCAAAACACCTTAGGCAAAAGGTGGGCGCGAATGTCACCCAAAAAGTTATGAATTCGAATCTTCCATAAGATTCTCTGTGAGTGTGAGGAACTTCTGAAATTTCAACGAGGATTTTGCCCTTAAGTTAAGCCAACCTCCGATGTGCAGCCGCTTCATCCTTAGTGGGAATCATCAGCCAGGTACAACTCAAGAACCTCTTGAACGATTCGTATTCACAACCTCTCAGCTGGTATTTAAAATATTTGGCCACGTGCGGCTGATCAGTGGTGATTTAGTTCAATCATCCTTCAGTCACGAGATTCACATCATTTGACTGCATGCTATCTGGCTCACTGGGTGGAAACTCAGACAGAAGGTTGTCACAACATATGAACTGCTCCTACTTCTGAGCCATATGTTGTTTAGTATGTGAACTGACCACATTGTTGACCAGCCATTCGTGGTTGAACGGTCTACTGTCCAACAATCAGCCAGATGTTCGTGGGTTTCGAACGGCAGTTGTGCGCTAATGATGATTTCAAATGAAGGTTAAACGGACGCGCACCCCTTGTCAGCTATTCGAGACTAATTTTTTCACTTATAATGCAAAATTTGTGGAACGTTTACTTTTGATGACTTGTCGTGGCTCTTCCCAAGCTTGTTTTGGAAAACGTTTACTTTAAGTCTATTTATTTGGCAAAAGTTTTAACTGAGATTCCTTCCTATAAGCAAGATCATTGTATTCTGAGTAGCTGAGGAGCACCGTAGGGCTTTCTCATCATTGTCTAATATTATGGGCTCTTGATAGATATCTCAAAAATGCCCAGAGCGATTCAAACACGCGATCATTTCTACGCTCTTGGAAGAGAGTTTAAACTCCATCAGGTTCGGTTTTACACTTCTAACAGAGCCTTTGTTCGTCTATTGAATGATAAACGCCCAACCTGAGCAGCCGAAATACTTCAGTATTTTAGCAGCAGTTCATTGCTCTCCAGAAGTAGGTTTCAGGCAGATATCTCAAGTTCCCACCTAACAGACGTTCAGTTTCTCCTTACACACTTGATTCCACACTTTCGCCCGGAAATAAAGCCTTACAGTTCAAATGGACTTGATGAGCAAACATTAATTAGGGCTCATTATTTCACATATTTAAAGCATGAATAATTGTACTAATCCTTACAGAGTAAAAGAAGAATTCCTCCTGTAAGTGAAGACTCACGAAACAGCTAGTGGCCAAACGGCCATACTTTCAGACTGCTACCCGGGAGGTCACAGGGTTCAGAGATCCTGGATTTCGTGAGATGCGCACTGCTGATGACGGAACATCTGTTTGTTGTTTCTTGGCTGTTCAGCATAGACTGTCTCCAACTACAGGACAAAATATCCATCAAAGTGCTCACAATACTGCTCACACCAGGGACAGAATGAGGGGCACTGTGGTCACTCAGAGTTTGAAAACAGATGGAGATCTGGCGCCTCTGCAGTCAGCTTTCTTATTGACGCCAGATCTCCCAAGCACCTTGTAATGTGAGCACAATTATTAACATCAGTGGGAGTTTCACAATGAAATCACAAGGGAGAAGATGTTTTTGTTCTCAGGGTTATTCTGTTATCTCTGTTATCTCCCAAATATATTCAGTTAGATATTATACACATACGATTAACTCACTTGTGTGAACGTGGGGCTCCTAAGCATTATCAGTATGTAAGTCCTAAGTTGACAAACAACACTTTAAAAGCTTTAACGTTCAGTGCAATCGGAAGCTGTTCCTCTATGATTGGTCCAAAAATGTTCCAATCATCAGAGCGCTTGCGTCTGAGCGTTATTACTCCGACCGAGGTGGACTTTGTGCATCTGAACCTGAGTCCACGGAAATTCATACAAGTAATCTATCACATTTCTCACTGCGTAGGTAGATGAAGTCCATAGACCGGTTACGTGAGCATCATCCGCCCGGATGTTGATAAGTGTGTTAAGTATGACGTGGAAACATGTGGTTTCATTGGACAGTATGCCGTACTGGTAATGTCTGATCATCTGCTCGGGACTGATCATGAGAGATGATTACAGAGCATATAAACTAGATCAACATTTCAACGTTGCATGAGCGGACTTTCGTCATGGTTTACATAGTCGTTTTTCTTGTCCGTCACCACACTTCCCATGTTTGAACCTCTGAAAGACACCCACTCTGTCCTCTAGATGGAGGCAGTTGTCCCTTCAAAGTATAGTGAGCGTTATATACAAAGGTTACCGGTTTCAGTGACCAGTCTCAATTGTCTGAGATGTAGAAAGTACACCACCGTATTCAGAACTAATGACTAATAGTAAATTTGATGTGTGGAGCAGAAAAGACCTTACACGGTGTAGTTAGCCTGCTTGATGCATATCTGATGCGAAATTGGTATTTCTATATTTTAGTCAGATAATTGTTGATTATTTCTTGAAAAACATTTTAGATAGAACCAACTCTGACACCAGAATGCATTGAGTAATAGTCCGATAAAAAGGCCGACCAAATCATTTTTGGGACGTCTTTAAACCTTATTCGACTGAATCGCAAAGTATGTTCAGCTTTATTAGGAGCGTGAGATAGGATGTCGCGCACAACTGCATGACACTATTCATATCGTCACCGTCTACACATCACGCAAGAATAGTCGGAAATATTGTCTTTCAACAACCTTGTGATGATGTGGCGTACGACGTGACCTGTGATATAGCATTTAGATGAGCGTTTTTTACTTAAATAACAAGGCGTGCAATTACCGAAAGTTTTGTTCGCATCTGAGGCGTGAGAAGTAATGTAAACTGTCGAGAAGGAGAGATCGTGACAGTGAGACCGTCATAAATAAATCCAGAAGCTCTGGTAACCTGCACTTCCTGTAATGAAACGTCTTCATAACAGTCAATGAACTTGGCGAAAAATTCAATGCCCAACACTAAACCTGGTGGACACGTCGATAGCATCCTTCACCGATATGTAGGTCAGTAGATAGTGAAAATAGTAGTGTGGGTTGGCCAGGTTGTAGTTAAGAGACAAACCGTAGCTAAATGGCATAAGGTGGACGTAACCTTGCTCCACATAGATTAACTACGTTGTTAGAGGTATTTATGAACAGTAACCCGCCTCGCACTTCAAGTTGAGCAACCCACCAAAGCAACTGATCATATGGTTGGCTTTTGAGCATCAAATTAGGTGCCAGTTTGAAATAACCTATTCGCTCGTTAGGTCAAGTGGGTTTCTGTACTGTTGCCGTTGCCACTAACCAGCTTATTAAAACTCTATGTGGGCTGACACTTCAGGTCCCTAGATAGAGGATGTCGAGAATTCGGTCACTGAGAGAAGAGACAAAGACCAGCTAAGGGCGATTTGTTCTCATGTGAAATTTTTCCACTCGAAAAGGAGCTTTCAGTCCTGCTACAAGAGACTCTAGGCTTATTTATTTTCATTCCTGTCGATAAATATGATACTTTCCTTTCCTCCCATATTGAAAATATCCTACCCTTTCTCAGAGTCTAGAACATTTATCATGCCACACAGTACACGCTCTATCACTCAGGTTTGGTTCATTTGAAGCGTGACCGCTCAGTTCTTCAAACATCGGAGTACTGTGATCTTAACACTTACCGCATGAACTTTGGAATTGCTGTTCTAAGTTCCTGTTCCGGCCCATCGTTTTTTCGCGGTGCAGTTTGCTTTACTTACCTGTAGGATGTAACTGAAGACTGCTGACTGAAATATCATAATCGAGTACACCCTATCACATAAGAGAAACAGTGCTTGACACTTTGCAGCACGTCAGATACAGACCGAGTGGGCCAGTGAATAAGCATAATGGTTGATGCGTTTTTCTGCACCCACTACTTAACATCCGCATCCTGGAATGCAACACTAATTAATTCCGTGAAAGGCACTCATTTTCAATCTAATCTAGCTGTAACCGGAGACTCAAATGAATCCCAGGTGAATATTTATTTTATGGTAGCCTTGAACAAAAACAGCCTTATGAGTAGTGTGTCCGGTTTGGACAATTTACGCGATATCTCGAATATCATACCAATTTCAAAATGGAACTGTCCCTCCAAAGTGCTTCAGTTTGGGGACATCACGAGCTAGAGATTCATCTGGGGTTCACCTGAGTCCCTCCAAAGCACTTTGCAAATTAATCTCTTTGGTTGATTGTGTACACAGTGGGTTGGGGCGGAACACAAGGCCAAGAAAACCCGAGAAGTGCGCCTACCTAATGAGCTACGAATAGGACAGTATTCAGCACAAACGTTCCCACAACATTTGGGCAGAATACTCCATCCATAAAAAACAGTTCCTACTACCTCGTCCTCCATAACACAGTCTAGTGTACTCCTCATCCGGAGATTAAATCTTCGCTC